ACCTTGCAGCTTTTTAAAGACTTTTTATGTGAACTCCTTATGTTTTTATTGTCCACAAATTTTCATTTGGTCTTTCATATGCAATATACAACTCATTTCCAAACCACGTCAGCATCAGTCTGATTCACACAGGTCTACACACAATATTTTCAACTCTTGACGCAATAAAACGTGCAGTGATTCACAACTAGGTGCGGATGAAGCAGATTCGACACTTGCCTTCATTTTTCAAGGGGAATAAATAAGTTCAAAGTGAGCTTATTATTTTACGAATGTTTTACTTTTATTACACAATGTAAACTCTCAATCTTTAAGAAAATGATATAACAAAGGGTCTAGTAAGTAACAAATTCAAGCTTCAAGCCTTTTAGTATGGTTTAACTAAACCTTTACAAAACTGATTTATATGGTTGAAAGTCAAAGAATTACAATACAAAACCTTAAGCCTCAGTTCATAGGCAGAAAAGAATAAAGCACAATTTGCAACTAGTTTAGAATTTGAAAAAAATGCCCCTGGGAAAACAAAAGAATAGGTTCTCAAAGGCAGATTAGTCCTGCCAAAGAAAGCAAAAAACTTTGTTTGCTTCACACATGCCAACACAACTGATCTGGGAAGCAACCTAGAAGAGTCTTATAAATGTAACATTTCTTACATAAACATCATTAGTTATAACATCTGACTTTGACCACATACTGGAGAAAAACGACTTGTGACTGTGGTGTCACAAGTGTTGGCTAATCGAGGGGAGAAACAGCTTATTGTGACAGTTTTGTCACGAATCTTCCTTTGACCACACACTGGGAAGAAACCATGACAGTGAGTGCCATTCTCGTGTTCACAACATTTGGACAAGACATTAGAGAGAAGCTATACATGTGCAGAGTAAAGCAATTAGAGTGCAAGGTGTGCAACAAGAAAACGGAGAGGTATCCATAGCGCCTGTCACTTCACAGTTACTAGACTAATTTTTGTGGTCATAGTAACAAACTTTGCTGAGATAACTAATGATGTTTATGTAATTACAACAAATGTTAGAGTAACAACTTAAACTTAGATAACATGTATATTTAAAAAAAACATGCACTATTGTAAAAATTGGGAAATTCTTGGGGGAACACGAAATTGCACTGGTGAAATATACAAGCTGAAAAAGCTGTTGTTCTAATGACATTCATCATTTAAATAAGAACTAAAGTTATCACAATAGCAGAAGGCACAATGAGGCCATCCCAAAATAATAACTGGGACAATCTTGAATTACACAAGATCTACTAAAGCTATACAAGTGACATAACTGATTCCTCGATTTTACATTACTTAAAACTTTGACACGCTACACTTATCTAGAGGAGGAGAAAATTTAACGAAGACAAACTTCCCAAGAACAGAAGTTAGTACACATTTGGTATTTGAGGAATTCATGAGGTCCAAAACTTATTGAAAGAAAAGATTGATGTAAGTCTGTCTAAGTAAGCTGAGGTCCAAGAAAATCGGTTTCAGCAGTCTGCTTTAGGGTAACTACAGCTTAGCAAAAGGCGACAAAGATGAGGACATACAAATATACGTAAGACACAATCTCTAATGTTCCTGCTTACATGTGTGATTCTTTACAGGGATCTTATCAACAAAACATCAAGGATTTCAGTCCAACAATAAGTCAAATTGGTCCTTACTTGGTGCAAACATGCCAGAACTAGTGAGGAAAATAGAGATGTGTATAACTAAATTTAGAAAGAAACCAGTCAGTCCTGTCCTGTGTCCGTCACTTTTACTTTGAACAAATTAGAGTGCTTCAAGGAGACTTGTTAATGACTGTGTTAATATTAGCTCACAAAAAAAAAAGTTCTGCTCAAATTTTAACCACAAAAGCTAAACTGGAGAAATTGAAAAATATTGAAAACTCTAAATTCTAGTAATTCAAATAATGGAATAGGACCTCAGCTGCACCACCACAAGAACTGAATTGCCCACACAACATTTTTCTCTGAGACATTATTAGTAGTTGCCAAAAAACCAGCAGCTTACTTATGTCACCAGCAGACCTTCACAACTGTGTTGCGTGAAGAACTTAACTCCATGCAAGAGTCAATTGTTTTGTCTTCTCTATCCCAAATGTAGTCTCCATCAAACCTGGAAAGGGAATCAAAACAAAAAAATTAGTTTTGTGATTCTTAATGTCACAACAGAGGCTAAAACAATTGTCCTCTCTGTCGATTAACCATGCAAAATTAAATAAAAGTTTAAAAACGGTACAAGAAATTATCAAAAGAGTTCTCTTGAAAAAGGATGCAGACACTGCACACTCACTAGTTCTACAGGGTTACGCAAACATTGAGATCTAATATCTAGCCTTACAGTATTCCAGACAAAAGTTTTAATAACTCAGTCATAGCACTTGTAAGTAAATATCTAGTTATATGTAAATGTAACAAGGGCTAAGTTCAACATAAGGACATGAAAATATTTTTGTCTTGTTTTAAAGAATGAATATAAGCTTACATCTGCTTAAAAATGCCTGCTGAAGGCCGGCTAAGACCAGTCCTGCACATCTCCATTTATCTCACTAATTCTGGCATGTTGGGACAAAGCAGAGACCATTTGGACATGTTGGACTGGAATCCAGAATCCATCTGTAAAGAATCACACATGTAAGCAGAAATATTAGAGATTATGTCTGATGTATATTGAATTGAAATATTATTATGTACATACTAAGCTCATCTTCATGTCGCTTTTAGCTAACCTGTACTTACCTTAAAGCAGACTGCTGACACCGATGTTCTTGGACCTCAGCATACTTAGACAGACTAACATCAATCTTCTCTTTAAATAAGTTTTGGACCTCATGAATCCCTTCCTTAAGCTTCTGCTTCTTATCCATGTCCTCTGGTAACATTCTAATGAATAAAGGGGGAAAAAAAGGGCTCATACAGAATAGACTTTTTTAAAAGTACTACAAATACCAAATATATACTAACTTTGGTTCTTGGGATCAAATTTGTGCTTTGTACTCAATCATTTTCATATATCTCATTCAATCTTAATTTCTTTCTGATGTTTGTCTTCCTCAAATTTTCTCTTTCTCTATGGATAAGTGAAGTGTCTGTAAGTTTTCAGTCAAGTAAAACCTAGGAATCAGTTATTTCACTTGTATAGCGCATAGTAGAACAGTACCTGTAAACAATCGGAACAAAAGAAAATGAAATGAAAAAGGTTTTAAATTGGCAGTCAAAGAATTATTTCAAACCACTAACCATGGTAAAGAAATTAATTTTCCGAAAGGAAATTGCAAACTCAGGACCATCAATTCCTTTTACTGTCCCAAACATGCAAGTTGACATCAGTTGAAGAGATAGACCACACACATGGACCTGGAATACAAGACATATAACAGAGCTGGGTTAAACAAGCACAACCCAAACCGTTTGATACAAATAAATTCTTTTGAAACGGTGCTTACATATACATCTGCTTATTTATGTCTGCTGTCATGCGGCAAACAACCTATGACTGCAGGTTGGGTATAGATGACATCACATGGCACAGAATAAGCAGAATAAATTTCTTGAACCAGCAGTACTTCTCTTCTGAAACAGACAGTATTTTAGAAGACCTTCCATTGTTCACAAGTCAGAAATCACAATCACCTCTAAATTTTGAAGTGAAAAGCACTTGCATCAGAACTACGATGTTCGTTAAAACTGGGCATCAATCTCATTCAATCGCGCATCATTTAATAGAGATTACTTTTATTCAGACTAGGTCTGCTTTTGATTGGCATTTGTTTAGCACCTTGAATAAACCTTCATTACCAAACTGTCTCACTTTCAACACAGAAAAGCTGCTCCCCAAATTGACACGAGCAGATCCAACGATTTAGAAAGGTTGAAGTGGACTCGGAACCCGCCTCAAAGGGATCGTCAGCCAGGGAGGAGTAACTAAACACCTGGAACAGGAATGATGATATGAGTAAATATACAACACTAGACAAGCACAGGAGATATTTTTTGTTACAGAATAAGACAGCAAATGTGAAGGCAAAGTCAACAAAATCCAGCAAACAAATACACGGACATATGTCGGACGAAAGTCGAAATAAAAGCGGTAAAGAAGTACGAAAAAAGGCGAAGGCATGCAAAAGCAACGAGCTATAGTGCAAAAGCACTCGCAAATCAAACAACCATAATTGCGTAACGTCACAAAGCAGGCACAAGCTCGCAGAGGTTATGTTTAGCACCTCACCTTCATAAAGAAACGCAACACTGGTTGTACAAAAGAGCACCGTTGCCTGGATCCACTCACTGACATTCAATAAAATCAATGTTTGAAAACGGCATAAGCGAAATTATTGTTGTGTTAACAATCGCCCTCGTGGTTCGCCACGAGTGTTCCCTGGCAGACAATAACCCAACCCAGCAACTCTCTCCACAAAATCACAGCCGGCGTCGTAGAGAACGGTGCTGCAATGAAGAACAATGAGAAGAAACATACACCCTATAAAGTCCTAACTGTTGCAACCGACCACATTTCGTGCAAATTTCGATTAGAATGTCGACCGACGCAAACGGCCGCGTCCAAAAGCAGACAGTGTTTAGCTGACCGACAACTATTTCATCAATTCATCATTCGTTCGTTCAGCCAGGGTGGCAAGTCCTGAAAACTAAACAATTCTGCCGTAGATGCAAATTCTCAGAACGTGACGCTCTAGCAGAAGACTACCCCTATACAATAAAATTAGTATTTCCACCCATTTCACAGCTTTTTGGCGTTTAAACGTGAAACGGTAGTGATGTAGGACGACGACGCGCAGACTAGCTGTGGGTGGTATGTTGGTGTACATGGCGAGGCAGCGGCGCGCCGAGAGGCGGGGTTCGAATGGCCACAAAGTGCGTTCGGTATCCGTTTAACGTTTTAACACAACACAAAACTGCAATGGGCGTTCAGTTTATCACATTCATATGCTTGTGTATCGGCACTACAACGCCACGTTCTCGGATTCCTGGTTTCCTCTACCTTTCCTTAGAAATAACTGTGTGGATGTGGAGCACATCAGGTACGGACAAACACGGTGCGAACAATTTCGCCTGTCTTCGGCTGTGGAATAACATACCAGCGAAAAGAATCCATTTCGAGACTCGATAATGTCTTGCCTGTCAGGGTGCCTGGAGGGTAACAACTGCCCCGCCCGCGACGCTCGTGCGCTGGGTGGGTTGCCTACCCTGGCATTTGCCCGTCGGCTTTAACGATTTAAGAAGCGACCTTCTCCAGCCTCTAGCACTCTATAAGTTGCTAAGAAGCACCTTGCCCTTCGCGCCCGTCCCCACTACAAAGGCCTCCTCGCTGTACCAGTCTGCCTTCTCCAACCACAGGCTTCAGACTACTGCTTCAGACCGACGGGCGTGTGCTCGTCCGGCGGCAGACATCAGACATGGGCTTTCCCTCTCCCTCGCCTGTCGTCTGGGACTTTGGCACCATTTTCTGATCTCTTGGTCACACGGGACATTTATTAAGCCAGCGATGGCTCCCCGTATGACGGGGGTGGGCGGTGGGCGTGGGCAGGCGTGGGCACAAAGGGGCATCGCCGCGGACGCGGCAGCTGCCACCCGGCGTGCTCCATCATCTTCTTCGCGGACGGTCACTGCGTGTCCTGGATCTCGACGCGGCGCGGCCGCGGGCGAAGTTGGGCACGGTCTGGACTCCAGCACCGGTCGTGCTGCCAGGCCTCGATGTCCACCTCCTGGTGGTACGCCCCCCCCTTTTTTTTCCTACACTTGCCCATCTGATCACGAAGGAGATGCTTCTCGCTCTGGTGTGCGCGCCGTGCTGCCTGGACTCGATAGCCATCTAGGATCCGTGCGCAGCCATAGCGCCAAGAAGGTCTCCTCGCTCTAGTCCGGCCTTGTTCGAGACGGAGTTGTACGGGAGGTATAGGAAAGTGGTCTTCTGAATCAGTCGGCTCCAAAACGAAGACCAACGCACCAGCCACCGGCCGACGTGGACGACGGTAGCGGAGACTCTAGGCGGGGCGGCGGGCACGCCTGGATAAGGTCCACGACACGCCGCCTCCGGCAGACCTTCAGAGCCTAGTCGCTCGCCACCAGCCTTGAGCGAGTTAACAGATCGTACGAGGCTGTTTCGCCAAATCGTCCCCGAGGCATGGACACGGCGCTGGAGGAGCTGACCGTGCTCAGCGCGCTGCCCGGCGTCGGGTCCTGGGTGTATGAGCTGCCGGACGAGCTGCTGCTGTTCGGCATGACGCCCTTCACGGCCTCGGCTCTGCACGTGTCTTGAAGCTGGACTTCCCTCGGCTGTGCGTGCGCCACGGAGCAAGGCGCCAGGCCAAATAATAGCACCCCGGCGCCCGGCGCCCGGCGGCTCCGCGACGCGCCACCGTATACCTGCCGGCTCCGATTCCGATTATGATTGACGACGTCGATGTTCACCTCGCTTTTTTCGCCTGGCTGACAGCGGCGCCTCTCTTCCCCCGTCTCCGTGTTCAACTTCCTCACTCGAGAGCTGGTGAGCATCCGAGGGATGTCCTGCGACCCCCCCCCCCCCTTCCTCCCTTTTCCCCTTCCCGGATCCGCCGAACGGTTCAGCCCGGCGTATTGCCCATGTTGCGGGAGGTGTTCCGACACGCCATGAAGGGGCCTCGCCGTGTGCATACAGCGCAGCCGGGCCGGGGGCAGGGTAGGCTCGGCGAACCGCTGTGACGTCAGCCATCAGCCTTGGCCTTGGGGGCCGGGTCTTGAAAGGCCGAGACCACCTCGGCCCCGGGGACAGCACCAGGACGGCCTTGAGGATGATATGGTGGGGTCGACGTGCAGCCTGGACTCCGAACCGTAGGGCGCTAAAACCTCGGCATCCTCGAGGTGGCCCGCCGCTCTTCATCGCGCTTCCCTTGCTGCCGGCCCTGCGGCCTGCGGCGCCTGGTAGTGTACGGGGATGTGGACGAGCTTCTGCTGGGCAATTACACCTGCCTCGGCGATGGCTCTGGAGAGCCTTCGGCTCCCGTTGTACATCCACAAGAGATGTGCCCAAGAATGTCGTAGACAGAAAACGGCGCAGCAGGTGACGTCGGGCAGGGTCTGGTAGACGAGTCTCGTGTTGATCCCCCCTGAGCAGGGGACAGCAGACACCCTGGCCTTGCCCCGCGGCCGCAAGCAAAACATTGAGGCGGACTCTCGTGGTCCAGCACACCATGTGCGCCGAGATGGTGCTCTTGGCTGGCCGGCCCATGCCATTCCTTTCTACCCCCCCCCCCCCTTTCCCCCCGCTTCCGCTGCGTTTCCCTGGGCCCCGTGGTTGCTGGAGGCGTGTCGCACCGACATGCCATCGTCTCAGTGCCCGGCGGGGCGGGGGTGGGGGGTGGCCGCTGGCCGCACCCGAGGGTCGAACACGCCGCGCCTCCCATGGAGATCTACAGACGACCCCACTGACCTGCCCGCCTTGAACGGGTTGACACGCATCACCAACGCAGCAGCCCCACACCGCACCCACCCGGCCGGGGCGGCCGCTCCACGCCCTGCTTGTCGGTGAGCAGGGCATGAAGAGGATGGTGGAGGCGTGGTCCGGCAGGCGGTGCACGGGCTCGCCGGCCGGGCGCGCGGCCGGCTCCGGCTACACGCACAACGCACAGCTTCTTCTAAGGCACGGGGCACGGCCGAGGGACATAGGACGGAGTGTATGCTGGGCGGGGCCCTGGAGGCTGTCGCAAAGCGCGCAAAGCCAGCGAGGACATAGGCATAGGCATCGTCTGACGTTCGCCCGCCTGCCTCGTGCTGGCTCGCGGTCGTCCTTGCGTCACTCTCTTGGCCGTCCTCGCTGCCGCTGGCACGCCCCCGCTTCCTGGCTTGCCCCAGCGCCCGAGAAGATCCTGGCCACCTGACCTGCGGGTGCGTCGCGACGCCGTGCTGTAGTGCGTCGACGGGCAGCCCGCAAGTGTTCGCCCAGGCGGTGAGCGCCTGCAGTGGCGGCGTGCCTCGGCATGCAGGTGTTCACCCTGGTGAAGCCCAACCGCAGGAGGCTGCACTCTAGGGCGGCGGCGTGCCTCGCCGTGCTTGTGGCGTCGCGTCGACGGGCAGCCCGCAAGTGTTCGCCCTGGCGATGAGCGCCTGCAGTGGCGGCGTGTCTCGGCCCACTGGTGTTCGCGGTAAACGAGCGCAGGACGGAGGGACCACGGCCTCCAGAGAGATGTTGGAGACGTGCCCCACCGCTGTGCGACCTGCGGGGCGGCCTTCAGGAGGGCGGCCCTCCTCCGGGCCCACATGCAGAATCACGCCGCGGGTAAACTGGACGGCGGCGAACACTGCAGCGTCACTTCAGCGGCTGGGACCGATCTCCGTACAAACGCGAGGACTCGCACAGGTGATAGGCCTTATGAATGTCAAACTTGCGGCAAAGGGTTTAGTCACAGCAACACACTTCGTAGACACATGACACATGAGGACTCACACAGGTGAGAGACCTTATCAATGCCAGACTTGCGGCAGAGGGTTTAGTGACAGCACTAATCTCAGTAGACACATGATGACGCACACAGGTGAGAAACGTTATGAATGCCACACTTGCGGCAAAGGGTTTAGAGACAGCACAAAACTCCGTGCACACATGAGGACACACACAGGAGAGAAACCTTATGAATGCCAGACTTGCGGCAAATGGTTTACTGAACACAGCACACTCCGTGTACACATGTGGACTCACACAGGTGAGAAACCTTACGAATGCCAGACTTGCGGCAAATGGTTTAGAGACAGCACTAGACTCCGTGTACACATGAGGACTCCACACAGGTGAGAAACCATACGAATGCCAGACTTGCGGCAAAGCAGGGTTCTTTACCAGCACCAGTCTCCGCTTACACGTGAGGACTCACACAGGTGAGAGACCTTATCAATGCCAGACTCGCGGCAGAGGGTTTAGTAACAGCACTACATTCCGTAGACACATGATGACGCACACAGGTGAGAAACCTTATGAATGCCAGACTTGCGGCAAACAGTTTACTGAACACAGCACACTCCGTG